TTTACTTTGTGAGTAAAGTAAACTTCCTAGGTACCATAAGACCTAGTTAAGGTAATGCTATAGTTTAGATATTTGACCCTGCAAACCTTATGTTAAAATTTGAGCCCAAATGTTTGGGGTGGGGCCAAATGGGAGGTGTTTGGGAGTCATGGGAGTGGGTCCCTCATGAATGACTTGGTACCATTCTCATGGTAATGAGTGAGTTCTCACTCTATATTAGTTTCTATGAGAGAGTTTCCCAGAGAGCTGCTTCTTAAAAAGAGCCTGGTGCCTTCTCTCTCTCTCTCTCTCTGTTGTCTCACACACTCTCTCTTTTCTCCTCTAGTCATATGATCTGCATGTGCCAGTTCCCTTTTTTCTTCTGTCATGAGTGGAAGCATCCTGAGGCCCTCACCAGTCAGATACTAGTGCTATGCTTCTTGTACAGTTGGCAGAACTGTTAGCCAAATAAACCTCTTTTTTGAATGAATTACTCAGCCTTAGGTATTCTGTTATAGCAACACAAAAATGGACTGAGACAGGTAGAAACGGGGATATGTGATCAATGACTGTATATAAGCCATTCCCTTATCTCCAGAGAATATTTAGAAGAAAGAGTAGTAGTCACGGAGTGACTACAAATAATGGGGAGTGAAAATACTGAAGGAAAGCAGAAGTAAGATTGACTTACTTGTTTATCTGTTATGCCAGAATTTGAGGAGAGGAAGGTGAATCCCTTTTTTGTCCATTACATCTTGCCCACCCTTAATCAAGCACACTTTTGGATCCTACAAACTCTGCTGGAACTTTTAAACTGCAGAGGATTTAAGGAGTTAAGCACAAAATGTCTCTGAGGAAGCCTTCCCTGAGTATGAATGGGTCTGGGTGTGGGCGTGTGAATCAACCCTAACAAACCGAAAACAATACCAGGTGATTTCTAAAAATCAGCAACTCTTTTCAGGCGTCACTGAATAACCTCACAAATGATTTGCACTACTGCTAACAACACCTGGTAAGCAGTTGTATTATCTATGTATGATAATATATTTAACACATTTGTATATGGGTTACTATATTTATATATTTTACTGTAGTAGTTGTTAAGTATCTTGAAGATCCCCCCTTACCTACCTACGTCCTTCAAGATACATTTTAAAGGCTACTTCTCTATTAATTCTTCCCTGATCTTCTCCAGCAGGTGAGGAGGGATGTAGTAATGTATAGCTGCTATGACCTTGGGCTTTGAAGTTAGAAAGATCCAAGTTTGATTTTCTGCCAAGCTATTTAGTCATTGTCTATCCTTGGGGGATATTACTTAAACTCTCAGGACCTCATCTTTTAAAATGTGTGCTTAAAAAAAGTGAGGCATTAAATTTTAAATATCTGAAATAGGTATCAGGAAATGTGCATTTTAAACTTGGCTATATTACTCATCAGCAATGTGACCTTAAGTATAGCACTTTCTGTGCTTTGTTTGCCTCATTTATAAAATAGAATCAATAATTCCTACTATTTTCACTATTTGGGGTAGGTATGAGAAACAAATGATATATAAGTAGTTGAAAATGAAAAGAATTCTAAAATTATAATCCCTAAAATAAAAATCATTAGTAATGATAATAAATGGTCTCTATGAAACTATAAAACAGCTGAGTGAGTCAAGTCACCTTTAAAACTAGAACAGCCTTAGTCTGGTTTGGGTAAAATCTGAGGAGCACTTAATCCCTTTAAGATGTTTGGTGAAAGTCGTTAACCCACTTAGTTCTTGCATATCTCTCAAATGTGTCATTCCTTCTTTATCCTCATTCAGTTCAAACCTCTGTCATCTCTAGGACCTCTAGAATGATTTTTGCAAAGATCAGGTTTTTTTGTTTGTTTGTTTGTTTGTTTGTTTTCTTCCAGATATTTTCCACTTTGCTGTCAGGTTACCTTCTTACAGTGCAGAGGGCTGGTCTTTTATTCGTGTTTGTTTTTTGTTTGTTTTTAAATCTGCCCGGTGCCTGTACTCCCAAAGTTCTCAGTGTGGCTCAGAAGGCCCTTCCAAATCTGACTCTTGGTTATGTTATTGAGCAGCACCTCCTTCCCTAATTTGCCTTTGCTCAGTCACACTACATAGCTCACTATAATTTGATCACATCATGCTCTTTCTTGTTTTTGTGATTTTATTGATGCTATTTCTCAATGGAAAGTTCTTCTCTCTCTCTTTAGCTGGAAAATTCTACTTGGCCTTTAAGAGTCAATAATAATTTATCTCCTCTATTTCCAGAGGACATATCTGTCAATTTTGCATTTATTTGTTTACAACCAACTCTCCCATGAAATTATGAACTTCCAAAGGAGTCTCATAGATATTTGCATATCTTTGTAACGAATCTGTTGACCTTGAGATGCAGAGATTATCTGAAATTATACAGATTGATCCATTTAATTATATGAGTCCTTAAAAGTGGAAAGTGGAAGAAGCGGCAGAAGAGCGTCAGAGAGATGCTGTGTGAAAAGGACTCAACCTGCTACTTGAGGTTTTGAGGCTGGAGAAAGGGGCCATGAACCAAGGTTTGTGAGTTGCCTGTAAAACCTGGAAAAGACAAGTAAGTGGATTCTACCCTAGAGTCTCCAAAAAGGAACACAGCCTTGTTGATGCCTTGATTTTAGCATGGTAAAACTTATGTCAGCCTTCTCACCTACAGAATTGTAAGATAATAAATTTGTGTCATTTAGGACATTAAGTTTTTGGTAATTTGTGATGACAGCAACAGAAAACTAATACAAACCCAACTTTGTAATGGTTTTCTTATATTTCAGATCACATACGTCCAAAACAGTTTTAAAGACCCTCATCCCACTATTAAAATGTTCTAGGGTAAACTAAATGAGATCATTTTGGTTATGAGCAGCATCTAATTTGTCTACACAGAATATTAGTACATAAAAGCTTTAATTTCCTTTCTGAAAACGTTGTTCCACCAAATTTGGATAAATTGAATTTATTGATAAGATGCAAACTAATAAATCAAAGGAAGCGGAGCATCAGAAAGAAACCACATTATAATTTTTATTACAAGTTTATACCTCTACTCTCAATCTAATTCTCTACTCTCAATCTAATTCTCTACTCTCCATCTAATTCTCTACTCTCCATCTAATTCTCTACTCTCCATCTAATTCTTACAAGAAGCAAAAATTTCCTTTTCCTAAACATGATCTGATAGATTATTAGTTGAATTATGAGAAAGGTATTATGTTATGCTTGGGTATTCTCCACTTTATTTTTACATATATGGTTGGCATATTTTTTTGTCCATTTGTGAACAAGAATTCCTATTAAGCAGAAATTCATCTGGACTCTATCATCTGCAAAATCAACCTTAAGACAAATGAAAGAATGTGAAAACAGGGACATTCTTTAAGAATGAAATTATGTCTTCCTCCATGCACCCACATCACTGTGGTTACAGAACTTTGGGGAATTTATTCCCATGTTTTCTCTCCTCTGGGTGTTCACTGCTTCAGTTCTTCCTATCAGAACCTCCTGAGGTCAGAGAGTTTTGCCCTTTTCAGAGACTTCTTTCGGCGGGTAAAGCCTTCTGAGCTAACTAGAAATCAAAATGGGATGCTGTATTATGTCAGAACTGTATGTTTAGTCTGCTTTCCTAGAAATAATCAAGAAAAGTTATATGTGAGAAGACACAGATGGTCCTTTCTCAGCAATATTTTCGTATTTTTGAAGTATAATATAAAAGTATAGTTGATATCTACAACAATATTTTTTATATACACATATTTTTATTGATTCCATTTATAAAAGTTCACAAAGCCTGTGTGTGTGTGTGTGTGTGTGTGTATAATGTAATACAAGGCAATAAATGTTATATCATGTTGGCCCTTAACCCAGCATGTTTTTCTTTGAAAATCCATAGAAATTGATATTCTACTTCTGATTTATTACTGAGCATATTTATGGCGTGGAGAATATTTTTATTTGCCAGATTACAAATCATTTTAGGAAAATCTTTGAAGGGATACCTAAAACCATTTTGCACCAATATTAATCATTTTAACCTGTCTTTTATTTTTACAATTATATAAAAAATAGGAAGCATGTTAAAGCTGCTTCAAGACACGTATTCTGTTATGAGTTTAGTAATTAAGAAGCTTATGTGTAGAACTTAGAGAATCTCAAGGAGTTGTCTGTGATATCATTAGCTGTCGTCCAGCCAAATAATACAATGTTTCCCCTTGCCAACTATAATATATAATCTACTATTTAAAAATCTATAAAGTGAAATATAATTAGTTAACATTTCAATATTTAAATTCAAGATGACTAGTAAAGGATTTCTCATATACTGCACAGTCCTAGACATGCAGCTAAATGTATCTATTAATATTCAATGAATACCAGGCTCATTTCATGCTCATTTCTATTTCAGGAAAGACTCAAAAAAGGACTGTGTTCCATTGATTATGAGACTAATACTAACGTGACAAAAGTTATTTCACCATTCTCTTTTTGCAAAAACAACAAGAAAACTATAATAACACAAACAAAACTCTAAGACCACTATTTGGCTCTCTCTGATTCCCTTCCCTGAAGAGCATTTACAACTGACTTTTGAGGAAAAACAAACACATTCATAAAAAAAAAAATTGGCTTCTTGCAAGTCCTTTTCTCCTTTGTCTTCCAACTCTTTTACTCAAGCTATAAAAATAAAGTAAACAAATATTTTCAATTTACCTATTTTAAAACTTCTGTTCTTGTTTTGCCATTTCAGTTTTTCACTCTGCTCTTATTCATTCCTATAGTTTGGGACATACTATGCTCATACCTTATCATTAATTCTAATAGCATACGAAATTAAGTCTTATGATCAGTGCTTATTACTGGCATGGAGCATCTGGTGCTAATCTCAAATTGATTCCAGATTACACTGCATCCCTGTTGTCTTCCCGACAGGGCAATACCCTCTGCTGTCTCAGGGTCAAACATGCTACTCCTGCCTGCTTGTATGGCCAGCTGGGCTCAAGAAGGAAGGAACCTCATTGTTGACAGTTACCAGATGACTGTGCCCCTTCTGTGCAACTAAGAAATGGAATAGACGTTGGTGAGTGTTGGATACAGTTTACAAGCTTGAAATGCTGGGAATTCACATTTGTGATACTTAAGCAGATTTTAGTCTCATTGGCTTATGCCCAAGAATTGGGTAACATGTTATAGTTTTTGATGATTTGTTGGTTATTTGTTATTCTTTGAAATTCCCAAGGAATGAGCAAAATATCCAGCGGGAATATTGATGTGAGCAATAGACTTAACAGTCTCTTTCATGGGCCATCAGCTGTGGCACTTCACATCATAAACTCCAAAGGCAGGCTAACCACGGGTCAAAATTCACCCTCGTTGGAGGAAGTCCTCGCAGTAAGGAACGATCAAGTTCAAAATTATTCTTGGTTTAAAATACAAGGTTTAGGAATCTCAATCAGGTGAAGGAAAAAACAAGTTGTGTTTACCAGAAATAAAAATTTGCTGCCACAGGGAATTGTAGAGATTATCAAGCAAGGGTATAAAGATTCAGCTTCACGGAATGACAGCCAAACATTTTCCTCAATATTTTGCAACAGGTGTCACCTGAGTTAAATGAAGATAATTTTGACTTTTATTTGAATTTAAATAATTATAAAACTCTGGAGTATAATATGTCTTCCTTAAAGTGTATCTTGAGCTTTTTCATTGTCCAAATACTGGATTATTATACATTCATCCTAAATTACTTTCTGTTGACAATAAAATGAAGTGTCATGTTTCCCTAGACATGAAAACCCATTGTAGTTTTTTAAAAACTTATTCTTTGTATTTGTTTGACCGTATCAAAAATAGTCATGGAAAATAGCTGACCCAACCAAGCAGAATTTTAGGACCCAAAGAAACCAGTAGTAAGGAATGAGTGTTTTAGGTCTATTCAAAAAAATAATAAATAAATAAAATAAAAAGGAAATAACAAGTTCCTTGATGTTGGAGCCCCAGCTCCTTTTGTTACAAACTTGTATTTGGCTTCCTTTTCTGCTTAGTCATTGCTTTAACTCCCACTCTGAGATTAATTGCGTGACCTCTGGAGATGAATGATCTTTCACTTAATCTTAGTCAATGCAATCTGGACAACCTCAGGTTTGGTGAGGTTCCTCTTGGGTGGTTTTCATTTGTTTTAGAACATTAAAGTATCTCATAAATCTATATTTATTATATTGGTGAGTAATCTACTGTAATTAAATATGAAATGCTGAAGACAATGTTACGGTAACATTAGGGTCAAAAACCCCTTTTTATGGTGATTCCACAGCTACAAAAATACCCTGGAATTTACTTTTGTCTTTATGTCTGGGTCTGTTTAACATTACAGAGCATCCAAAGGCATATCATTTTCAGATAGTCACTTTCTAAGTGTTTTAAAATAATAGTGATTTTTAAAATGATAAATACACAATTCTTATAAGAAAACAATTTAAGATGAATCTTAGAGAGAATTTGGCTAACAATACCCTTATTCAATATAATGTGTCCACATTTACTGGTGTTATAAAATTTGGTGAACCAGTCTTAAAGAATCCAGGCTTTAAGAATATCCAGGTTTGATATTAGATCTCTTCTTACTAGTTTTCAGAATGAGACTAGTCTTAAGATGCAGAAATGAGGCTGAGTAATAACAAAATCAGTTTAAGCCCATCAATTTGTAATTTATGAGTTGGAAGGAACTGCCACAACTGTGCTAAAATTGGCCACTGCAATATTGACAGGGAGAAAAAGGATTTCTTAAGCAAATTAATATTGAAACAAACTATGATTTTTAGATGTAAATGATCCAAAAGTATAAAGTTTTCCAATAATTTATGCTCATATATGAACAAAATCGATATGGCCAGGTAGTAGTATTTGATAACTGAAGTAGTCACCTATTCAGCAAGATGCTGAATATTGAAACACAAACTAAATAATATGCTTTGGGACTTTGTATTCAATAAGGGAATTCTATTTTCTAAGTTAGACAAATAACCAAAATAAAACAAATGGGCAAACTTAAGACAGACGAAAGGGCAAATATAGGAAAAAATAAAAATGAATAAATTACATTTAATTTGGGAAAATGTATACATTAGGAGACACATGAATTATTGAATGTAAAGAGAATGAGCATTGAAAGCTTTTGATGAGCTGGGGAAAATCACCTTTTTGCACTGAAGTAAGGTTGAAAACCTATTCACTAAAAAGTCTTAAAATCAAATAGATCTTCATGCATCTATGCTTAAAGTCAGGGATATAAATGACAGAAGTCTAAGAGTTCCTCACTCATATGATTCCATGGTTAGCTTAAAGTTTAAGAGAAAGCTGCCCAAGGGTAGAAAGCTTCTCCATCAACCTAAACACTGTTTCTGTTAGACTTCCCTTTGAACTGCCCTAAGAAAACTTTCTTGGGTAATTCAAATGTAAATCTCTTATATCACTGAAAAGAAACACAAATAGACCATAAAATACTTAAAAAAAAAATGTGTTGCTGACTATGTTCAATTCTATGACTCCATACAATTACTTTCAATTATTTTATTATTGAAGTGATAAATAACTGTGTATCATACACATATTTAAATCTTTGAGGAAACAGAAGAAGACTAGATCCATTCTAGTGGCTCTAGAGAATATGGTAGCAAGGAGATCAACTAGAAAAGTTATAGTCCTATAACTTTCGAGTCCAACTCGAAAAGATAGTCCTATCTTCCCATAGGACAATGGTAACAAAATAAAAGCTAGCACAGAAGCAGTTTCTTAACGGATCTATTATCCTGATTTTTTAAACATGTTTCTTTTGCTCTCTTCATACTTCTTAGTCCTCTGATAAGAACATATCCACCATTTCAAAATTATGCTAAATGAACTGTTTGTAAAAATACTCAGGCAATGCTAAAATGCAAACACAAATTTGTTCTTTTTTCTATTAGGCCAACCTTGAATTTGCAAAGCTCTAGTTCTGTTGCAAGTGCCTTAGAAGGCTTAATAGACTGTTAGTAGATTTTACCACATCTTAATTCTGAAAAACTGTATACAATTTAAACGAAACATATCCATGTGTTCCTGACTAATTTGCCATCGAGCTTATTTTGTGAGCTCAATTTCATGCCTAAAAAGTATTTAAAAGCCTCTTTGAATTTTTAAGCCTTTGCCACAAGCAAGGTATCACAAATACACATGCTATTAGAAGTGGATTGATGTTTGACAACCAACTAAACTGTAAATAGATATCAAACAATACTGCTAAAGGAAATCAATGCTCCCATGCTTTTATAAAGAAATAGCTTAACGCCCACTGTGTGTCCACATGAATGAACATGCTGTGCAATTTTCATGTCAGAATGAAACTCGTATTCTGTTAACAGCCAGTTCCCCTTGCTTCCAAAGTTAAACTACAATACTCTAGGAGAAATTCTGCACCATTCCCTAGTCTCAATCTCACGTGCCATCAGCAGATGTCTACAGCAATTGGGAGCAGCATGTATTTTTCCATATAGTTGTGTGTTCCCAAAGAACAAACCCAAAGTCATGCTGCATCTGCTTTCCTCGCACATGCATGTTGTATTCCCTCTTGGAACTCTACTCACTTTCAGCTTGCTTCGGGCTGAGAAGCCTCCTGGGGTGGGGAGTTTGCTTCGTGTCTGACATGTCCAATGATTCACACAGCATTTAGGAGACCACATATGCTTCATAAGTTGAGCAGAAAATGCAAACCTTTGAAATACATTTTTTAGTAAATTTTATTTTGTATCTTCAATATTATTTTATAGAAATTGGATTAGGTATTAATTTTCACAACCTTTTAAAAAGCTAAATGAGATTCTTTATTAGGATTTATATTTAAACATAATCCTGTGAAAATTGCACAAACCACTTAACAACCTGAAGGTCACTGACTCTACTGACTGACAGCGCCTTTGTTTAGACAACATGATAGCACTAACATAACCATTTAGTGCATTTGAATACGATGTTGGCAATTTGTGAAAACTATTTGGCTTTAAAACATCAGTATGATTTGAAGCAAAAGAGGAAATCACTGGCCAATTTGCTAGTTAAGTTTGTTCTTTGAATAACAGAATGGTTGTCAACAGAAAGATGAAGCAGATTTGGTGGTAAAAAGAGGTTTTCAATTTTTTCAACAATGATAGTATCATTAACAAGAAATAATGGTTGACGCAAAGCCTCATGTGTGATAAGTATAGTTAGAAAAGAGCAGATGATTAGAAATAAATGATCATCTTGAACATGGGGCAAAAGTGTTGAAAAAGATAGAATGGAAAGATCAGATTGACAAAAGATTTAGGTTCTAGTACTGGCTAACTTACTTATTAACTGGCATTCTTAAGGTAGTTATATACTCTTTTCATCAGCCTCAAATACTTGAAATATCAGTGGACTCAGAATTAGGTCTAGGTGTGAGTCCTGGTCTTTGAGTGTGAAATTCACTACTCACACTCAAAGTCTCAATTTCCTCATCTTTAAAATGCAGTCGATAACAATAATGCATATATGCCTGGAATATTTAAAGAATTAAGTGAGATAATTATGTAAAATTGCCAACAATTAAACAAATAATATTATTAAATCACAGTCCAATCGGAAAGAATTTATGTTAATATGCTTATGGTAATGGATATGGTTGAATAAGGACATATAACCCAAGCGAATGAATTTTTCTGTCTTTTGGCTTTTTGTAAGGTAATTTTGAGTCCAAGTGTAATTCCCCTGGAAAACCATTTTACCTTCATTGCAATAACTGGAGGTCTCATTTCCATTTTAATCATCATATGGATTCCCAGAATTATATAACCAGGTAATTGAACTACTGTGCCCTAACTCCTTAGAGTCTAGAGATGAATAAATCCCTGCCAGCTGTTATATTATTTAGTGGGGCTCTATGGAACATTAGGATTTAAAGCAACTCAGCATTTGGATATTATTTTTTTCTTTCTGATTATAAAAACCATATATATTAAACAATTTGGTTTTAGACTAGGAGATTAACAGTTAGGTGTGTGTATGTGTGAATGTGTGTGTGTGTATATATATATTTATATCTGTATATCTATAATGATTCATAAGTGTATTGTCCAGATTAATATAGGCTTGTGAAACAGGCATTTTAGTGTAAAGGTATAGAGGTTCACGGCAATACAATGTTTAATATGATGAGTTAAAAATACTTCTGTTTCCTCTGTAATTTTAGGTGCTTGTAGTTAGAAGATACTGGATCACATGTTGATAGTTTTATTCTTTTCATTATTCCGATACATATATTCAAGTCCTTAAGGTCTTAACTAACTTTTTAAAAATTTGCTATTACACACACATTTTTAGTTAAGCAATATACATGTGTCATCTGCCATTTATTAATATTAATTATAAATGACCAGTGGTTAATGGGATCCAAGTCCAGCAGCTGAGATTTTTCTAAATTTGACTTCCTTAGAGTTTATATAAAAAGTTTTCAGAGTAGTTCTCCCAAGCTTCTAGCCAATTTGAGGCTAGTTTGCAATCTAATGTTTTAGATTATGTATTTAGCAATCAAAAAGAGGAAGGATAAGTGACAGAAATCATGAAAAGAAAACATTATGCGAGAGGATTCGATGGGACAAATAAGAGGAAGAGATATTGTTTAAAGTGATACAGTGTCATGTGTTAAACATTACAAGTTAAAGGCTATGTGCACAGTATATGTTTTAGGAATGTTACAGTTTTATCTTTGTTTTCCATAGTTTTACTATAGTCATAATGACAAATGTGGAAGGGATGTTTCTATAAGTTGGTATAAATGAATATGAACTTGAGGAGAAAACCTAGAAAGAAAGAAATACAAAGCCCAGCATGTTAGTATATCATTAGAGAGCCACTTCTCAAAGCTACTTATTGCATGCTACCCTACAACATCCTACAGCTACAGCATAATGGACTCCAAGACATCTGATATAACCTCTGCACAATGCCTTGGGGAGGACACTGATATATTTTTCCTTCTGAGAGTCAAGCAATTTTCCTAAGAAAAACGTATTGTGCTTTTCTGTAGCAAAAAGTCCACAGGAATGTCAAATACAGATTTTACCATGATTAAAACTGAAAAATGTAAAAGAGGTTTTAGAAAACATCTTGTTCAACAGTTTTAAAATACAGTACTTTGGTACAGAGCTACTGGTTGGCTAGACCTTACTTCAATAGAAGCACTTAGTTTGTTTTTATTTTATTTTAAATTGGGGTAAAAAACACATAACCATCTTAACCATTTTTAAGTGTACAGTTCAATGGCATTAAGTACATTCACACTGTTGTATATCCATCACCATCATCCATCTTCAGAACTCTTTTCATCTTGCAAAATTTGAAAAGTCTGTATTCATTAAACAATCACTCGCCATTTAACCTTCCCTACCTCCTGGCAACTATCATTCTACTTTTTATTCTATTAACTTGCTACTTTAGGTACTTCATATAAGTAAAATCATATAGTATTTGCCATTTTGTAACTGGTTTAAGTTACTTAGTATAAGGTCTTTAAGGTTTATCTATGCTGTGGCATGAGTTAGAATTTTCTTCCTTCTTAAAGACAATAGTATCTCATTGTCTGTCTATATGACAGTTTGTTTAATCTATTCATCCATCAATGAACACTTTAGTTGCTGCCATCCCAACTTTTAGCTATTGTAAATAATGCTGCTATGAACATGGGTGTAAAACTATCTCTTTGAGATTCTATTTTCAATTCATTTGGGTGTATACTCAAATGAAATTGCTGAATTATATGGTAATTATACATATATGTGTGTGTGTGTGTGTGTGTGTGTGTGTGTAACCAACATGCTGTTTTCATGGTGGCTGACTGTACTATTTTACATTCCCATCAATAGTGCAAGATATTTCCAACTTTTCCCACATCTTTGCAAATAATAAGGCACATCTATTTTTTATCATTGTATAAATTGGGCTCTACATACAATTTTAACAGAGCAGAGGGTTCTGTTGCTAAAATCCATTTTAAAACAATTTTTTTCTACTTCAGTTTTCTCATCTTGTAAGCATCTGTAGATAGCCAAGCAATCTATTACCAGGAGGAAAGCAAGACCCAGTCAAATGCCCGCTAAAAGTTGCCCGCTAAAAGTCTCCTCTTACTACTCCTACTTACATTTTTTTAAGCCTCAACTTTTTTGGCAGCCCTTCTCAGAACACCTTTCTGAGGATAACTCTCTTAGTCTAATGCTCAAATCTGCTTTACAGAAGACCTGGCCCCAAGCCACATCGTTCAGCGAGAACAAACTGCTAGAACAGCCATTTTATTGAAGGGAAACTGTTTTCCATTGCAGCAGGGGAGAGTGGCTCAAGTAAGTGGCTCCCCTTGGTGCTTAAAAATAAGGCTCTAAGAAGTGATTAAAAAAACAAAAGAAGCAAGTAAGCAGTTAGCATGGTGATACATTATTAAATATCTGGATAGCTCCACAAATTGAATTAACAACGTCAACACAGTTCATGGTAAACAATACTACGCAAAACATTGTGTCCATAAAGCCTTATGATACAGTGGAAACCATAATGCACTAGGATTCACATTTGTTTTCTGTCATTACCAGCCCTGTGATAAGGTCACTTAGGCAAAATCACTTTAACTCTTTGGTGTTGCTTATTGCAAAAAAGAATAATGAAGTATGCATCTCCAAGGTAACTTTTGACTTATTCTGATGTTTTATGTTTTGTTATTCCTACACAAGAGGAGGAAATCTAGAATTAGTTCTAACATAAGTCTTCTTAATTACATCAGTAGAGGCAGAAGAGTTTATGAGGGATACAGGGCAAGATAGCTTACATATACCTATGATCATAAGTACACGCAAAAATATTTACACTAGTGTGCCTAGCACTATGTCTGGCACACAACTGTCACCTGTAATGCTTGTGAATTAATACCCACACATGTAAGATTGCAGTATCTAACAAATTTTATTAAAATCAGCATCCGAGAAGGAGAAGTTGTAATTACAAAAACAAAACAAAGTAAAACAAAAAACAAAACAAAAAACAGAAAACAGATAAAAAAAAAAAAAACACCAAAAACAGATGCTGGTGAGGTTGTGGAGAAATAGAAACACTTTTACATGGTTAGTAGGAGTGTAAATTAGTTTAACCATTGTGGAAGTAAGTGTGGCAATTCCTCAAAGATCTGAAGGCAGAAATACCATTTGACCCAGTAATCCCATTACTGGGTATATACCCAAAGGAATATAAATCATTCTACTGTAAAGATACATGCATTCATATGTTTACTGCAGCACTATTCACAATAGCAAAGACATGGAATCAACCCAAATGGTGATCAATGATAGACTGGATAAAGAAAATGTGGCACATATACACCATGGAATATTATGCAGCCATAAAAAGGAATCAGATCATGCCCTTTATGAATGGAGCTGGAAGCTGTTATCCTCAGCAAACTAACACAGGACCAGAAAACAAAACACTGCATGCTCTCACTTACAAATGGGAGCTGAACAATGAGAACGCATGGACACATGAGGGAAAACAACATATACTGGCACCTGTTGTGGCCGAGGGGAGGGAGAGCATCAGGAAGAATAATTAATGGATGCTGGGCTTAATACCTAGGTGATGGGACGATCTGTGCAGCAAACCACCCTGGCACACGTTTGCCTATGTAACAAACCTGCACATCCTGCACATGTATCCCG